CAAAAGGTATAAGCACAACATTTAACTATAATAGTATGAATAATTAATAACGATTTAAAAAGCCATTCATACTGACATATACTGTACATTTCGTACTGTACAATGCATAGATAGGTACTAGGTATATAATATATAAATGATAAGATACTGCATATTATTATGTTTTTGCATTTTTATAACAGTGTTCAAAAGGCTGTTGTAGGTATTTTCTGTTTAAGCACCATTTAATAGCTATGTCCCTTTCTTCTTCGTTTTATATCAAATCTAATTCAATCTAATAGGTAATACATTATAATATATTATAATATAAGATAATGTGTAATACAACATTTCGTACACACTACAACACTGCGAATTGCTGTTGATTAATTTTTTTCTTATTATTATTACTGTTTTACATATTAAAACACCATTGATGACACTATTTTATTTACTAATTGATATAATTAATTTTGTCACTGGGTCAATTGCTGTGAAGATGAGACGGAAACACATATATTATTTACCTTTTTTATTTACCATTCAATAGTTGTACATTCAATATTATAGGGACTTGGTAGACTGCTAATTTATTTATTTTAGTGGAGTAATGCCTTATGCCACTGTACAAATTGCTGTTAACTTTTTCTTTTAATATTACATATTATAAATTATAATGTTATAGGTATTTTTATGTAAAAACGTTTAAACAATATTTAATAGTTGTGTAATTTATTTTATATTATTCGTCAATATTTATACGATTGAGGCGTTGTATTTGTTTCACTCATTGTAGTCTATTGATTCTAAAATCTTTTAATGACGTCTTACTTATGGCGTATTTCTTTATTTGTTACACACTTTAGAGTTTAGACATCCTATGCAATACCTACCTCGGGTCATTAATTTCACTGATATCCTTAGAACCCTTATAACTATTATCTTATTTGATCCACACACCACAAATATAACTGTGTTGTAATAGTATGAACTTACTATATGTATTGGTAACTAATAGAAATTTAAAAAATCATTCACAACCGTACGCGCAGTACACACTTAGTCATTTAAAAATATCCAGTTGGAAAGGAAAAGGAAAATAAAATATAATTGTAAATGAAAATAAATAGTCATGTCTTGTCGTCATTAGTTTATTGAACATCTGAAAAAAACATAACGAATAAACGTAGAAACTTGTTAGTTGAGAAAAAATGTTCCTGTTAAAAACTTACTTATCTTGCCTATCGGTACCTGAAAATAATATGTTTGATTAGAATTATTAATAAAAGTATTATTAACTAAAGTATTTATATTATATCCTTACTTCTCTCTCCCCCGGAGCCGGAGGCATCACTCATTTCCTGAAAATTATGTGTTCAATTAGAATTATTATCAATATATCAAACACTTAAATATACAAATATATCCTTAGGACGTTTGGCGGTGGGCCCGGTGGCGTCTCGCTATGACCGGCCTCCTGAAAATAATTTGTTCAATTAGATTTATAAATTTTAAATATACTAATATATCCTTATGTTCAACCATAGTCTGCCTAAGGTCTTGGAAAATTAGTTTAATTAGATTTATGAATTTCGAAAACTTGAACTTTTTTTTTAATTTAAGTACTAAAATATCCTTACCTTCAGCGGCTGTGGCTTGGCCGTCTCCCGTACACCGCCCTGAAAATAATTTGTTTAATTAGATTTTTGGATTTAGAAAACTTGAATGTCTTTTTATATAATATAGTATAATATACTAATCCTAATATACTATCCTTACTCTCGACCACGGATGTTGGTCATCGACCGCGGGGATCGGCGCAGATCGTGATCTGTCAGGCGAGCGGGAACTAGGGAGGTGAGATTCACAAACCGTGATACCGTGTAGTATACTTTAGAAGTTTCAAGTAGGTACCCACAAATAATATTAGGAATACAATCACAACAAAATAGGTAACTAAAATAGTTACCCACTGTGTATTTTAGGTTACAAAACATTGTTGCGACGTGTGATATAAGTTTCAATGCTCGACGTTACCAAAACATCGTGTAAACGGTTTAGTTTTACAAATATTTTAAGTTTACATATTATAAACATCCAGAAACGTTGACGTTTCAACATCTCTGAAACAGGTTCCTGTAATAGTACAACAGCGTAGTGATGTGATGGAAAGCGATTTATATTAATTCAGTTATTATTTATAAATAGACAAATATACGAGTAGTGGTATTTTTATATTTATTTATATTCCACGTTCGGCTAGCTAACCCACCCACCGGCCGTCAGTCACCACACATAATATCTTTAACACTGCGTTATTGTATTTTCTACTGAAATAGACGTGAAGCAATCATTATTGTTAACGGTTTTTCTGTGTGTTGAACATTTTTTTTGATTTTATAATTACTGTATAGTATTAAATATTAATAGTACCTATATAGGGACGATGACTGCAACAAGTTTAAAAAAGGTACCTAAGTAAAATAATATGTTTTAAAAACAGTTTTTTCTGTAGACTTCAGACAATAACTCGTATGGTACCAAGTGTGTACAAAAAGGTCAGGCCATGTATAGTTAAAACTTTAAGTACCTACCTAGTACTTATACCTAGGACGATACCCATTTACATTTGTCGTCTCCGTCTTACACGTCATGTACGACATGGCAAGTTTTCGTTCACTAGTTTCAATAATTATGCTGTTATTTTTTATATTAGAGTAAATTCACCATTATCAAACTTTTGGGTAAGAACATTACGTACCTATTCTCAGCGTCAACTTTTATTCGATATTTTAATTTTCAAGCTTATATGATATTTACCTATGATATTTTATTTTATTTTCAAGATTATAATATGATCATTTTTAATTTATGATATTTCACTTACCCATTACCCATATCTTGCTTTAAAATTAAAATATCGGAAAAACCGCAGACACTTGTGCATATATAATGGTTCTTACTTAAACAGCACACTATTGAAACTAGTGAACCGAGATGTTCTATGTCGTACACTCGTAGGTACGTTTATAAGACAGAGACAACAAACACATGTTTACACGGGTAATTTTAAGTCTAAATATAACAATAAATTCGAAAAAAATCGTATCTTTCCACTATTACTTATCATTTTTTCAAAAGTTTTATCATATTATATTGCAGTCGTCATTCAGAAAAAAATGGGTTTTGGCAGTTTTTCCCGAGTCCAAGGACTATAGTGTTATACCTACCAATTGGCTAGTAGACACGGAGAAATTAGTAGAACAAATACAACTATAGATACATTAAAATAAAAGGATAAATACTTCATGTTAGATGATAACGCATTAGTCTCAATAGTTAATATTGTAAAGTCTAAAGACAATTCTATACAATTTTTTGTTGAAAAATACCTAAATTGTAAAGAATTTTGCAATGGACCTGTTATTTCTTCTTTAATTATTGGCATGTACAAAATTAAAACTGATGAAATATCAGATATATATTGGGTAAATGAAAAAAATTTAAATCATAAATGTTTTTGTGTTAGTGTAGGTAATAATTTAGCAATTATGATAACATTATGCCATGAAATAAACATGTGAAAATAAATAAAAAGCATAATTTATATTAATATGCTGATATTAAAATTAGGTAAGTAGGTACCTATTACTTACTTAAATATCTAAACTTTTTATATTTGTATATTAGTATTTAGTTTTTTTTCTTATTGTAATAATAATATGTAATTCATTAATATGGCTATATGCCTATATAGGTACTATTGTACTAAGATTACCTACCTATCTTATTAAATTGTTGTCTGTTGACTGTTGGTATTAATATTCAAATGGTTTTGTCTTCTACATTGTAAATGTTATGTTTATAATGAATAGGTATATAATATATATGTTACCTACATCCTACATGCAATAAAATAAATATATTATACATTATTGAAACTTGAGAGTATTTTTTTTTTTACATTTTTATCATAATCTATTACGTTATGGTTTATTATTTCATGAGCTACCTAATTAACAAATAATAATAATATATTGTGCATTGAAAAATATGTGCAATATTTGTATCATGTTTAGGCCATTGGAGAGTAGGTATGTTATCGAAAAATAGGTAGCCTCTAACAGTAGCTTCGATTGAATTACCTATTTATTTCTTTGTTTAAGTGGATTATGCTGGACGTACGTAGGTAGGGGTAACTAAATGTTTATAATAATATATATGTTCTATAATATATTAATATCTTTATATTATCTATAAACCTTGGCTGTTGTTAACAACGTCAACACGGCGGAAGTTGCGGGCCTCCCACTGGGCCTACTGTCGTTTTGGATTGTCGCAGTATTGTGTTTTAGCGCGACATTAAAATGTTATTATTATTAATTATTTCATGCATTACGTAGGTTCGAGTTATCACTTATCAGTAGATGCAGAAGTGCACCCACAGACATATATATATTATTATCTGTGAGGCACCATTGGGTAATCAGGACGTGTACTATACAACGAGTGTCAACGACAACCGAGCCACTTCTCGACCATCTCGGCGATAACGGATACCGCGGTAAACATTTCGGTTCATTTTTGTATGCCTAGTTTTGGCTTTTGATGGCTTTTTTTTACCGTTTCAATAACATACCAACGCTTCTTCAAGACTCGAGTCACCGATCATAATATTACTCATTTTTCGCGATGTATTTTATTTTTTGAACCAGTCAACGTGTTTTACTGTGTTATATTCTTATCAAGTAGGTAACCTGTAATCATTGAAAGCACTGACTGTTCAGTGTTCAAGTTCAACTCATTGTCTCATTAACCGTCGTAGTCGGTCGTTGGCGACCATGTGTACGCGTTTGTCATGACGTGTGAGTTGGTTCCGAACATTTACTCTTTGTTAATGCAGTCGATGGTTACCCATGTTAAGTATAATGTAATTATGTGCATCCTATTTATTTAATATTGGCATCAAAACGAGGAATTGAATGTTTGGTTACAGGTACTGAATTGAAAACACCTCGACAATGTCTGGAAACGAAGGAACATCTCATGGTAATATTAGTTTATAGTTACTAAATAGGTAGTCACTCTATATCATTTTGCTTATTAATTGTTGTAAATCTAATAATGGTGAAAATTTGGTAGGTACTGGTTTGTTATATTATCTCTGTCCATGCGTGCGAATACTTTAATACTTTATAGCCCTGCCACTCGGGTTTGTTATCTCTCCGCCGTACATCCTAATTAATATAATATTGGAAGAAACGTACCAAAAATAATAATAATAATAATAGTAATAACATTAATAACAAATAGTATACTTATGAGTCATAACTTAAATATTAAAAATGTCTGTGTAACGTCCTCTTAATTGGTAAACACATTAATCTTGACTTTTACCGATTAACCTCGATAAATTAATTTAATCTAGCCACAAATGATTATTCTAGTTATGGCTTTTACAAAAAAGACTTGGAAATATATGTTAGGATAAGCTATTTATTATGGTTCAAGTCTGAAACAGCTAATATAAAAAATATGTTAAAAAACAAAATATTCTAGTCAAATACGTTTAAGTGATAATGGTAACTATTTTAAAAATATTCTAATTTTAGTCTATTTATGAATATAAATTATTTCAAAACATATAGTATAATAAAATATTGAAATATAATGATGATTGACTATTATAAATTTCCTCATCAGGAAATTGTATTGTAAATCCTATTGTATATATATTTTACTTCATTTTTCGATCACTAATTTTTTTAATTATATATTTAATTATGAAAATGTTTTTAAACAAAATCTGAACATAATCTTAAATGATAACACTATTCAATAGGTATTATTTGTTAGTGCATAATTTAGAAAATTAAAATTAAACAATTAACAAAGTTAAAATGTATCTTATTCATAAATAGTAATAATTGATAATTGAAAATCGTATATAATATTTTAAATACATGTATATTTATTAGATTATACATGTATAGATACATGTATAAATCCTAATTTGAATTTCGTGGTACGCAATATGAACATTAGATTTTTTGGCATACATTGGAGCTTAGACAATTACCACTGTAAATTGTTATCCTAAAATTTACAATTTCACTTTTGTAAAAGCTAGAACTCCATAAACATACCCGGTTTGATCTAAATAAATTGTATATCCTAGAACTTACAAAAAACAATCAGTAAAATCTAGGTTTTACAAGTTAAACCTACGTTTTCAATAACAATTAGGTAAAAGTAGGTATAAATATTAAATATATTTTACACACTTATATAATATAAGAAATAATAAAAAATTGTAAATAATATTAAATTACGTTTAAATCAAGATATGTTGTGTTACTGTGTCATCAACAAAATGTGTTGGAATGTTAGATGATACTTCTATGCTGGGTGGCATGAAAAATGTATTTAATTTAAAGGACCAATCATGAACCACTAAAATATATTTAAGGGACAAATTATTTAAAGCTCACTATTGATTCGTTAAATGGTTAGTGTTTGTTCATTCAGCCCCCGACCAGTATAATCTACTAGGATTACTCAACTTATAGTATGTTATTCACACTATATTATAACAATAATACTATATATTATACCAGTGTTTCTCAACCTTTTTACTGTGGCGACCCCTATTTTAAATTTAATTTTTTTAGCGACCCCAACATATATATTTTTTACATACTCGCTTAGATTATCATTATAAATAATCTAGACTCTAGAGTCTATAGTTACTACAAGTACAGTACACGAGAAATATAAAAAATACATATTATAATATTATATTTATTTAAAATTAAAAAAAACTTACATTAAATATTTCATTTTATTATATAAATAATATATTTTTAAATTAAGATTTTTAATGGCTTGGTTGTTGCTGTTGATGTGATATTATTTCGTCAATTCTTGTTTTAATTTACTTTGTCAAGCTTATTCTCATAGCCGATGAAATTTCCAGACGGTTTCTAGTTTTATTTTTTATTGTTGTTAATGTGGAAAAACCATTTTCACACAAATATGTAGTAGAAAATGGAATAAGTTATTTTAATGCTTCTTCAGCCAAACTAGGATATTCATTTTGAACCTTTATCCAAAATTGAATTATATTTTTGTTGCTTTTAAAAATCTCGTGTAAGCCCACATCTGCACTCAATTCAATTAAATTTTCTTCATTTGTTAATGATAGTATATTTTGATCAGATTGTACGAATGGATTTATTACCCAATTACAATTTTTACGAATGTCTTGTGGGGTCGAAATATTTGGACATTTTTCTCTTAATCTACCTAAGTGTTCTTTGATGATAATACACATTTCATTTATTTCATTTTTTGTCAATATATTTTCCTGAGGCATGTTAAAAAAATTTGGACAAAACATATCAAATGTGTAGTTTTTTACTCGATTTGTCCATAGTCCTATTTTTTTTAGAAATGCTTTAATTTTGTTGTACCTTATAAAAAAATTAGTATGTGGACCTTGCATACTTAAATTTAATTCATTAAGAATTGAAAATATATCGGAAAGATATGCAAGTTTGGCTAACCACACATAATTTTCGAAATAATCACTAAGTGGTGATTTTTTGTCTCTCAAAAATATTTCTACTTCCGCTTTCAGTTCAAATAACCTAGTCAAAACTTTTCCTCGCGACAACCATTGAACATGAGTGTGTAATAACAAATTTTTAAAACCTGAACCCATTTCTTCACACATCACTTTAAAAACCTCGAGTTTTTACGGAACTAGCTCGAATAAAATTTACTATTTTTATACATACATATATTTAGAACGTCAAATAGTTTTTCGTTCATATCTTTAGCGGCTAATTGCTCACGATGGATGAAACAGTGTGTTGATATAATGTTTTTATGAGCAATTTGTTGAACGCGTGTGACAAGACCATTAAATTTTCCGATCATAGCTGCAGCTCCATCAGTACAAATACCGATACAGTTAGAAAATTGTAAATTAATTTTTTGGAAATGAAATGAAATGGTTTTGAAAATTTCTTCAGAAGTACAGTATGTTTTTAAATTTAAGCAACAGAAAAACTCTTCTTGTATATCGTTCAGATCAGTATCTACATACCTTACATACATCAATAATATAGCTTCATTATTTATATCAGTAGATCCGCCAAGTTGTATTGCGTAAAAAATTGATTTTTTGATTTTTTCACTAAGCTGATTTTCAATATCATTAGACATAGACACATAGTATTTATTCTTCTACTTATCGTATCATTAGACATAGGTATTTTTTTAATCTTTGTCACGTGCTTATTACTAAATAATTCTATACAAATATCAATCATACACGGTTTTAACAATTTTTCCCCAATCGAGTATGGTTTTTTTGATTTAGCTATGTGTAAGGCTGCCAAATAAGAACATTTTAGGTAGATTTTGTCTTCGAATTTTCTTAAAAAAAAGTCCCTTGTATTATTTTTATACTGAGCATGACTAGTTTCCATGTGACTAATGAGCTTATTTGGTTTTAGTGATGCATTTGCTAATGTCATACCACAAATAACACATTGAGGAACATCCTTTCCATTCTTGTTTAAGTATGTAAAGCCATATTCAATGTAACTATCTTTATATTTTAATATTTTTACCTTTTTGAGTGATGGTCCATCAACATTTTGAGTAGTATCCAAATTATGTTTTCTTTGTAATATTTGAGTTTTGATTATCAGAAGTCGATGTATTATGCGGTTGTTTGAAAAACTTCATCATTTGCGACTGTTTACTCATATTAGAAATATTTTATAATAATTAAAAATGCAACTTATTAACCTATATTTTACAACGGCGCACGGCACGGCAATGTTAACGATGAACTGTGACATAAATATATAATAATATAATAATATGTGCAGTGTGCACTGCGGCCGCGGCGGTGGCCTTATCTTAGGTTGATACTTGAGAATCTATATTCGACATTTATTATAGATTCTTTAATAGACGTCACAGAGTAATATCGCTTTAAAAATGATAATAGTGTGTTTTCCATTTTAATATAAATAATCTATACTCGTAATAGGTATGTAATATAATAATATTTCATTGATTTTATTTTTTTATTATTTGAGCTTTTAATTTTCGCATTGATTTAAATCATTCAATTGCGACCCTAAATAATAAGTAGGTGACCCCCAGGTTGAGAAACACTGTATTATACAACTAATTGACTTTATCATGAGTAGGGTGACATGTCTGATTGTCATGTATTCAAAAGTAATATGTTCAACTAAATTGTATCTTCGAAAAGTAATTTACCTATTCAACAAATTATCTGTTTGAAAGGTTATTAATTGTTCTAATAGATATTTTGCAAAATTCTATAGTTACTCTTATAAATAACAAATTTTGTAATAATTACTAAGAAAAACAATAAAACAAACCCCACGTCTAATGATAATAAAATATTTTATTAGGTGCTACTAGGTTAAAATTAAAAAAGTATTATATAAAAATAGTTAGGTACTTATATACCTATATTAAATTTAAAAACCCTGTTCTTGAATAAGCTTATCAATTGTTCTCAATTTATTCTGTTTCATGGTATATTTTCATAGATACCTATATGAGAATTTTATCAAAACATATATTTGTATTTATTGATTAACTATATCAATCAAAAACCATGTAAACCATACTCAGCAGATATGAAAAATCAATTTTCTATGTGAGATATCAAACAATGTTCTAATTTCAGTTTTGTTCTTAAATTCAAATACATGGCCCTAGAATAGATGACTATCACCCATTTACCACCTTTAACTTAGCCATTGTTTATTAGTGTTGGATGTCGGATCATCTGAAAATACTATGACTTTTGATGGGAGTTTCATAAAGTTCGAGGCTTCAAATTCTGACACTGAAACTATGACAGATATACAAAATTACTTGGATTCATTTAATAAAGAAATTAATGGAAATGAAGTAACACAAATTGGTTAGTATTATTTATATTTAAAAGTTAATTTTATATTAAATAAAAACAATGAATTTAGATGGGAACTCAGTAGATCCTGCATTTCTCATGAATCAAAATGACCCATATTATTATGAAGCAACTAAAAAAGATGGCCAGATAGTTATGGTTGGAGGTAAGTTAAAATTTAAATTACTGAAATTTAAAGTCACATTTTTTAAAAGAACATAACTAATTTAAATCTTAGGACTTGAAGGACTTGATTTAGAAATTATGGCTTGCACAAATCAAAACAATCTAACCAAAACTGCTCTGCCTTATGCACAAGATAAAATTGAAAAAGATATCCCTCAAGTAAATTAAAATTATAAATAATGAAAAATACAGGTAATAAAATGTTTGAAATTTTAGATTGTTGCTTTAGAAGATGGTGGATATCAAACAGTCACTCTCGTTCAAGCTGACACTGACCCACACAATTATGTTGTCTATGTAGTCAATCAAAATGATAGCAATTATGAAAAATCCAACAACTGTAAGGAGATTTCTAAAGAAGACCATGATTCCGATGTTATAAATGTGTATAACTGTATTGATAGGGAAGATAATAATCTACCAAAAAAACAAGAAATACAAGTAAGTTTATAGGAAAAAAAAAAACAATTAAATATATTAATTTATATTTATTATTATTATTAATATTACTAATATAATATATATTTAGAAAGAAGATGACGAAACTAAAATACTTAAATTAGTTCCTAAAAAGTCACAAACTACTCAAGTACATGCATGTAATTATTGTACTTACTCTACTGGGAAAAGGTAATTTGTATTTCCTTTTATTGGTTCCTAACAAGTTTCAAATGTCTTCCAGATTATTAATTTTTTGTTTAATGCATTCATTAAATTTGTAACTTAGCACCTAATATTTCTACTTTATTTAAATTTTTTCATGGATAAATCTTCTTCTTTAGGTATTTATTGTCTCGACATATGAAATCTCATACTAAAGAACGTCCATATATATGTACTATTTGTGATCGTGGTTTCAAAACTTTAACTTCTTTGCAAAATCATGTTAATACTCATACTGGAACAAAACCATATAATTGTCGAAGTTGTCCAAGTAATTTTACTACATCAGGTATGCAAATGTATTAGTTCTTAGTCCTAATTACCTATTAATTATTATTTGTGTTTATAACAATTTTTTATTTTATAAAATATTTATATTTATCTATATTACAGGAGAACTTGTTAGACATGTTCGGTATAAGCATACTCATGAAAAACCACATAAATGTACAGTATGTGATTATGCTAGTGTAGAACTGAGCAAAATGAGAAATCACATGAGATGTCATACTGGTGAAAGACCATACCAAGTATTTACTATTAAACATATTCCTTTATAACTAGATAAGAGATTTATATTTTTTTTTTTTAGTGTCCCCATTGTACTTATGCAAGTCCAGATACATTTAAATTGAAGCGCCATTTGCGTATACACACTGGTGAGAAACCATATGAGTGTGATATTTGCTCTACTAAGTTTACCCAATCCAACAGTTTAAAAACACACAGACAAATACATAGTGGTAAATTTCATTTTTTAAACTATTTATTTTTTAGAATACAAAAATGATAAAATTTTTAATTTTTAGGTGAAAAGCCTGTATTTAAATGTGACCTTTGTCCAGCCACTTGTGGTCGAAAAACTGATTTACGTATTCATGTACAAAAGCTTCATACTTCCGACAAACCTATTAAGTGCAATCGATGCGGTGAATCATTACCTGATCGTTACCAGTATAAAGTATTGAAGCATACATTTTCCATTAATATATTATCTAATGAATATATTCTATAGGTCCACTGTCTTTCACACAAAGGGGAAAAATGTTTTAAATGTGAATTGTGTTCTTATGCTTCCACATTTCAGCGTCAACTTGAAACTCATATGTTAACACATACAGATGAAAAACCATTCCAATGTGATCAATGTGATCGGGTAAATTATATTGAATTATATAAATAGTTAATATATGCTATGCAATATCAACTATTATTATTAATTTGTTTTTCCTAGTCATTCAGACAACAACAACTACTACGCCGCCATCATAATTTGCGCCATAATCCAGGATATATACGACCTCCTCCACAAGATAAACCTTATAGCTGTAATACATGCAAAGTATCATTTAAACATAAAGGAAATTTACTAAGACATATGGAAATTCATTCAACTAAAAATTATCGAAAGACTGCATTAAAAAAAAAACTAGAAGTATTATTATTTTTTAAATTTATTATCTAATTTTCTACTTTAAAATACCGTTTGATAAAAATAATGATTAATGATACATGAGGGTAACTTATACAATTATTTATTTAAAAATAGTGGATGCTTTATCAATTACTTTTATTGTAGGTATGAATGTTATATCATGTTCATTTTGTTGTAGAATTCTAATAAAAATTGGTCGATATTAGTTTCAATAGAATGATTTTTGATGTCTGAAATTAATTTGTGTTGGTTTTGATGATTTTGAAACAATATTCTTTTTACCCATTGAATTAATATTTTTTGTCAATTGTTTCTGGATTTAGGAATGTTTGTGAAGTGCTGATTGATCTTCAGGTCATTAGTTAATATTCATATGTAGTACTTAAGTTTATTGAAATTGGTGTACACCATTAAGACATATTGGTTGTCATAATTATTATTTGCACAATGTCAGATTACCACAGTAATTCTTTGTTTTCATGAGCTTGACTTTATGGCACCAGTGTGCCAAGTTATTACACAGTGGATTTTTAACTTGAATATTGTTTTAAGAATTTTGAATTTTAAATATCAACATTATTTACTATATACCTTAAGTGTACATAAAATAATGACAGCAGTTTCTTGTTTGTGGTACAAAATATGTTCTATGTAAGTGATTGAGTGATAATTAAATAAGAGAACTTATAATATTTATTAATTTATTAAAGTATTCGTTTTTTACCACAATTTTCTGGAGAGTATACATAGTTGTTAGTGGTTGGTGTCGCTGGACTACTTGGACAGTTCCTTATTATATTTTTCATGTTTTGTTCATCAGTTCATCACCTACTACTGTATTTGCAAATTGTGATGTCCCCTTATCGAAACTTCATATCTCTTTAGGTTGTATTTAGTTTAGCGTACTCCCATTTCAAGATCCAGGTTGGCCGGTCAAAATTTTGTCCCGTTGCTCTGTTGTGCTATAATATATCAGTTTCAACTTTGGACCTATTTAGGTAGTGAAGTGTTCTTAAAGCAGCCTGTTATCAGTCAACATGACTAGTTCAGTGCTATTTCTATCTGTTTTACATGGGTAGACCAGTATCACTCGCTAACAGAGAAAAAATAGCAACAAGGTTGATACTCATATATTGTGTGGGGTTAAATTAAAATATTGTAACTTACTAGAGAAATACTAAATTTATTATTATTGTAATCAGTTTTATGTTGGTTTTTACGTGGCATGAATTAACATTATCTTGCAATTTTTTTATTTAATTAGTTTATTAAGTTTGTCAGTTGAGTTTATCGATTTTATTAGATTTTTGGTCATTATTATTATCAAAAATAAAAGGGGGTCAAGAATTGCGGTATCATCACGTAATTGGATTATCGGGAATTAATTAACAATAAACACAAATATAAATTCATAATGACTATAACAAAATTATTAGTTAGAAATACATCACATATAATATTATTATGTGAGATACATACAATGTATGTACATGTGTGTATAACGTGTGAACATTGTGTAACGGATGGTAATGGAATTGAATATTGTAGTTTAAAGCTCAACATATTTAAGTAATTAATAAGTGGTTCAATGTGGATAAAATTAAAAAATAATTCTTGATAATAAATTATTGCAGTATACAGATTCGGCTGATGAGGATGAATCTGAGGGCGACACAAATATTCCATTAAGTGGAACTGGAGCTATAACAATACAAGGTGAAGATGGACAGCAATATGTTCTACTTGAAATGATTCAACTTGGTGATCAAGATCAGATAGATAAAGCATCTAAAAATGTATCAACAAAACAAGTTGACAAATCTTGTAAGTACAAATTTTAATTTAATTTTCAAATGAAATTATTTATTAAACAGCACCAAGTTAAAAAGACCTACCGGTTTTAGATCCACTATCTTTGTTAGATGTGAAAGAAGAATGTGATGATGACATTGAAAATTGTTTCGGTTTTAAAGACGAAGATGATCGTTAAAACAACAAACTGGTGGTTAAAAGTTACTATAATTTAAGTGTACAATTTTAACTCAAACTTTTTACATTTCCTTTTATATTATTTGTATACCAAGTCTTATGTTTTTAGTGCTCTATTAAAGTCAATAGTTGATGTTATTTCAAATTAAAAATATATGACCTTAGAAATAAGTGTCCAATTTTAAACTGTTATACATTTTATAATATTCTATAACTATTTTGTTTGTGTACTCTTTTTTTATTTTTATTTTATATTTTACAAAAAATGTACATTAAATACTTAATTAATATAATCATTATTCATTAGTGATTAATAAATCAGTGTGCATATATTCGTGGCATATATTTATGGCTTACATAATTTTTTAACTATGATTTTAAATTGTTTTCATTCAAATTATTAATGAATATAATATAAGTAAAAAAATGTACCTACTAACTATTAACAAAACGCTGATTTGTGTTTTATTATTATATGCATACTTATTTTACTGAATTTTTTAATGTTGGAAAAAGTTTAAAAAGTAAATAAATACCTATTACCTAGCATTTATAAATAACATTTAAAGAACAGATTTTCTTTTATTGTGAAATTCGTATATTTAAAATCGGTTTTGTTTTAATTACACAATGTTTATTTAAAGTGTAGTCATTTTTTCAGTATATTTTGACATTACCTAAAAACCTTCTTTAAATATTAAATAAAGACTGCATATATTAATCTTGAATGAAGAGATTGATAAAGTATTACTTTATAAACACTATTAAAAATATTTTTTACTTGTAAGACTGTTGACATAATTTTGATATATTTTATTTCTATTTGAATATGCATTTTTAAATTTTTAATTACATTCCCAGACATGTTTATAATAATATAACTGTGGAAGGATAAAATTATTTAAATTTAACATTGCGTGCCAGTTGTCCGGATATATTGGAAACATGTGCACTTTATATAACGATAAACTATTGTTAATATTATATTACTCTTAGATATGAAAACCGATTATAATATTGTTTTTTAATTATTTAAGTGTTATTGTTATTAAACAGTTGTTTAATAAAGGCATCCTAGCTTTGATTATAAATAAAGTAAGAGTACAAAATACCATTAATACATATGTGTTGATTTTATTTTAAACCTGATAATATTAACACAGCGCTTTCATGCCTAAAATATTGCTGAGTTATAATTTTTATCAAAATCATAAGGACAAAATGTATTCATTTATTTTTGCTATTTAAAGTCCTTTGAACTTTACTACTTCTTTAGATTTTCGTATGATTGTATAATGTTAATATGTTCTTGAAATAGCTTGACAATTTAATACAAAGTTCCTCAATAAGTTCATTTACTTAAATTAAAAAAAATATTGAAAATTGTGTATTTAAATGCAGTAGTTCTCGTTCAATTTTTGTGATCTGTGTACTGTAATATAGTTTCTTCTAATAGGTAAGTTAGTAAATGATACATTATATATAAATAATATAATTAACCAACAGCTGTTTGAAGATAAGCTTGAAATAATTCTTAAAATATTGAATACACTTTATCGTCAAAAACTTCTAGTTCAATGATTTTAAATACCCTTCGATCGCGTACACACAAAATGCCTTGAACAGTATAAACAACAGATTGATTGCTTAATAACATCGATATTTGTAAATATGCATATATAGACTATAATTTATAATAATTTTTTTTTAATTCATATAAATTATAAAACGATAAAAAACTAAATTTATCAACTAATAACTTCAATTTATACGAACGATATTGAAACATTTTGAAAATCCGACGCTATTACACTAATTGTAAGTACAATATACTGTTATCATCTATAATACGCTATAAAATGTTGTTGCTGCTTGAATGAACAGGTACTGCTTCTGTAATTTGCGTTAGTGTTTTGTGGCCAAAGTACATTGACGTTGATTTCTCTTGAGGTGGCAGTATTATCAACAAAAGAGTAGGTACCTACCTAAATATTTTTTTTCTGACTAAAATAATAATTTCACTTACCTAGAAATTTTTCCTAAATAAAAAATCATACAAGTCTGAGATTAACTGGTTTTGTTAAGCTTGGTCGAACGACACTTTCTAAAACCAATATTTGTTTATGAAAATAATATTTTTATATTATTTTTTAATAATTATAATAATCGATTCTGAGTGAAGCGAAGACTGTAATAGCTTTGACATGTGTATTTATTTTTAAATATACCTAGAACTCAGAGATTGTAATTGTATGGAAAATATTATCCGAAAAAAAAAGGTATATTTACCAAGTGCTTTATATTAATCTATTTACATAAATAATTTCGATTTCTTAAGATTTTTCGCCTTTACCACCCTTTGAGGACTTTTCGCGTCCCCGCTCGGACCTTGTTCGCTAAATTTACAGGCCGAACTCCGTTCACGAGGCGTGCAAACCTAGGTTAGGTTAGAGAGAGCCGTTTTTGTCGAAAATTCCAGTTTTAGACCTTTCGACAGGTCTGCCCTCCCCCTTGACGACTTATTCGCATTCTCCGCTACATTTATAGGCCGTACCTACTTCCTTCGCGGGTCGAGTCCCGGGGCGGAGCGGGGTCGCGAAAACAAGACGGCCAAAATCACCGCCGTCGAGTAAGTATTACTATATACAGGCATAAATACATGCAGTGGCGTATTTACGGGGGGGGAGGTCCATGGGGTCCGGACCCCCCCCCATTGACTCGTGTCTCATACATGTTGAATGTTGTGCAGTTTTTACATGATTAAAAAACAAATTTTATCATACGATTTTACGGATTTTTTAAAAATGTTCGAAGCTATAGTTATATCAACATTTTCAATAAATATCGTGATTATTTTTATCAGTTGGGTACCGAAAATGGTTGAAAAATACCAAATTCATTTTTTAATTCAAATATTTTGTAGTTTTGTACATTGCCAATATCTACAACCACTCCAGAGAGATCTTTTTCAACCTTTTTAAGGTTGAAAAGCTATCTAAGATCAACTATGAATGAAGTAGGTACCTAATGTAATTAAGGAAATATTTGTATAAAAGTTATAACATATAACTATATATTCGATTCTGAGGGATCTATTGGTTCTTCAATGGTGTTTATTTATTTTTTCCTGTATACAAAATTTCTTCCAGAAGGAGTGCTTCGATTTCAACATGTATAGACATATATAGTAACTTATCTTTTAGAAAATTGGATCAAGATAGTACTTTGGAGAGGTCATTTTTCGATTTTCGCAATAGTTATTTAATGCCACTGTAAAAACCACCAAAAAATTACGAAAAAAACCACTAAAAATAGAATTTTAATTTCTAACACTTTGTCTATCACCATAGAAAAAAAATAAAAAATAAAAGTATTTCATTATTAATTCAACTTACAGGCTATAATAAATAATAACAATATAAAATATCCAGACTGACAAACCGTCTTCGCTCAGAATCGTTTTTCTTATATCAATGATATTATGATATTATATCATTGAGTTCAAGTTTAATACAATCCATTATACATTGACCCACTTGTAACCTACTGTACAGCAGCAGAGTGACATCCACTTACCCGCTTTTTAGATTCTGAGCGGAGCGATGAATGTATTGGTTTTACAATGATGTGTGTTTTATTATATTTTTATATTTTTATATTTTTTTATTTTTGTGTCTGTCATCACGTTTTGGGACAGTAAAAGTGCTTCGATTTTCTTCAATAGTACCTTTTCTGATAGGAAAGTGAATCTAGTTGGTACTTTGGGGGGTCAAAAGTAAACATTTTCCAGTAGTTTTCACAAGCGCAGGGAAAAACAACTTAAAAATTAAGGAAAAACGGGAATTTTTACGCAAAATCCATTTTCAAAAAAATCGAATTTGGTTTTTGGTGTAACTTTAAAACAAATGACCGTAGATACATGAAATTTTCACTGGTTGTTTATAATTGCATTTTCTATACACGATAACATTTTCAAAATATTTTGATTTATTTTGAACTGTTTAGGGACATTTTCATTTTCCATTTTTTTTTAGTTTTTTTTCTAAAAATATCAATAAAATTTTATTTGTTGGTTGCGAAAGCTTGAAAATTTAATAGAAGGCTCCTAATATGTTGTTTCAAAGGCAGATGAAAAATATTAAAAATCCTTAGTCACAATTTTTTTTTATAAGCATTTAAAGTTCAAAAATTGACAAGATATGGAAAAATCACGAAAATTAGCAAATTATTTTGAGTTAAGAATTCGTAAAAATTTTTCTTTTTAAATCTAAGATTTGAAAATGAAACACAAGATTGCTTATAAGATTATCTACCTTTATCAATAAAAAAATCTCTACCGGACAGTCAAGTTAAATTTTTATGAGCGTTTGAAATTCAAATTTTTACAACATTGGATATTCACTCGATTACTCATGTAGCGATTTCTTTATTTTGTTGCAATTCAATAACGAACAACTGTAGATACATGAAAATTTCACTAAATGTTTATATTAGCATTTTCTATACACCATACAATTTTGAAAATATTTTGACTCTTTTTGAGCTGTTTATGGACATTTACAGCTTTCAATTTTTTTTTTTTTTTTCTATAAATATCAATGAAGTTTTATCTGTTGGGCCAAAAATTTAATACAAGGCTCCTGATATATTGTTACAATATCAGTTGAAAAATATTAAAAATACATAGGCACGATTTTTTTTTATAAGCATTTAAAGTTGGAATTTTGACAAAATTTATCAAAATCTCGAAAATTATCAATCGTTGGAATTAAAAAATTATAAAATGTTCAGTTTTTATAACTAAGAGTTGAAAATTTAAAACAAAGATTCTCTTAAATAATTCATACTGTAACCAAAAAATCTAAGCAATATATGAACACAGTTATTTTTTACAGACATTTTAAATTCAAATTTGGACGAAATTACATATTAAAATCAATATTAACGATCTTGGTTTTTTGTTGTAATTTAAAAATATTATTCGGGGATATATGAAACTGA